TCCGACGTTCGCTCCGCCGAGGCGCGTCCGCCGAGCCCGGCGCCGCAGCCGCGCCGCTCACCCGGCCGGGAAAGTGCGAGCTCCGCGCCCCGCCGCCCGTCGGCAGCGCCGCTCGCTCGCTCTCCCTCCCACTCCAAACTTTTTTTTTATTTGCCTTTTAATTGGTTGTTATTCCTCCGAATGAATGATCTCTCTTCTTCCCTAAAAGCAAACACAAACTCCTTTGGTTCGGAAGAGGTCTCGGCGGTGCTTTTTGGTTTCTCTGGAGATTTTTTTCACTTCACAGCAACGATCTTTTAAAAGGCACCTTTTAGCTTCTTATACCACATCTCATTTCCTTATTTTTCTTCCTTCCTGTTTTCTTGTCTTTTTTTTAAACCCCAAATCATAGGGGAAAATAAAAATAAAAGAGTGAAACGCTTGCGGCTTTTTTTTTTTTAAATTCTCTCTCCTTTCAAACTCTGCGAACACCACCTCAAAATAATATACAAGTGTGTGAGAGGGGGAAGAAAGCAGCCAACAGCCCAAACGCCCGCTCAGAACAGCTCTAACAACACGCTCTGTGTAGGTGACTTCTTTGACCAAATTTAGCAGCAGCTAATCATTAACATTCTGATACATATTCACAACCGTCCGTGGAGGAACCGCGGAGCATCCCGGGAGATGTAGTCCGCCACGGGCGAGCGTGGCTTAGGATACGGCCAGATTGACTACAATCACCGGCCGGCCACGCGACCCTCTCTGGGGCGCTCTCCGAGAGCCACGCCCACCTCCGGCGCGGTAGGCGTCTCCAGCAGCCAATCAGAGATGGCTGAACATTAATCGCCGTTCTGTGTTACTGCCCATCATTTCACTGCTGACAAATGGCGAGCCAGGGAGGAGGAGCCAACCGAGCAGGATCCCACGTGGGGGCCAAGCGTCGCCGGTGGCTCTGACCAATCAATGGAATGGGATGGGGTTGGCGGAGGCGGGGCGGAGATGGCCCGCCCAAGGCGGAGCTTCGCCTTGGCCGATGTTCCTTAGCGCGAGCGTTCGAAACGGGGAAACATTTGTTCAGCTGTCAATCAAAGTAACGTGGGGCTGGGAGAAGCAGCGGCGACCGCGGCGGCCGCTTTTGCTGTTGGCATGGCTGCATCTTGGTGTCGGTGGCTGTGGCGGCGGCAAAATAAAGAGGGTGGAGGGGGCGGTGAATCTGGAGACTGGTCAGAAGATCTCCTTACGAGTGTCGTCCTCCAGCCCACCCCCTCTTCCCACCCAAACACCCTCGGCCTCGAGCGGCTGCGCCAGGAATGCGGACTAATTAGGGTCCAATGTCTCCTTAAAGAGACAAGCTCGGCCTTGTGTAACGCGCCGAAACCCCTGTTGAGACGGAGAAGGGGGGGCGATCACGCTGATCCTACTTCGTTGGGTTCACATCAATTTTACGCGCCGCTGGAGCTGGCATAATTTTCCGTGTGAACGCGGACTCGGGCCCCTGCTCTTGTTTAGAGCCGTAGACGAAGTCGCGAGACGCGGACCGAGGCGGGGGGGGCGCTGGTGGGGACCGCGTCCCCCGGAGCC